CCGCTGCCATCGGCGCGGCGCTGGCTCGGGGCTGTTGCGTCTGAGGAGGTCGCAGCTGGAGGACTGTGATCCAGAACGCACCAAGCTCCTGTCTAATACTGTGCTGGTGTGCATGGCAGACAGTGCCATTCGGGTAAAAGCTGTGTCCTTCAGGTCCCCGAAGGGCCCATCAGCAGCCCCTTTCCAAAGCAGAGGTGCTGGGAAGACGACTTGGTGAGGTGAAGGCAGTGGGACCCCACAAGCCGTGCCTCAGGCATCACTCACTTGTGTTTCCCTCCTCCCAAAGGTAGTGGGGATTCCTCTCTGGAGAAGGAGTTCAGCTCGGCGATCGTGGGACCCACGGTGAGCACACCCAACAGCCAGCACTCCTCCCCGAGCCGCTCTCTCAGTGGTGAGTACACCGACTTAACTGCAAAAAGCCATGCCAAGGTCTGCCTATTTTGTCCCCAAACTCTGCACTCTCTCAGGCGTGACACAAATTTTGACTTCCCACTGTGACAGATTTCTCTTCGAGTCTGACTCTTTGTTTTCCAACCGAAGAGGATAAAACCCTGCTTTGGTCTCTGTGTGGAGCAGCTGCCCGGTTACTGATCCTGGGCACCGGCTGTTGCTGAGCCCAGAGTTTTTTTGAATTGGCTGTGGCGATGCCGAGGAGTCGGGGTCTTTCCTTGTGGTTGTGAGTTTCACCTTGACTTCCAAGGAGCTGCATGTTCCAGACTGTTAATGATCACAGCTCTGGAGAGGCCGCAGAGCTATTAGTTGCTTTGGAATAAGTTATTTTTTGTATCTGTCTAGATGGGTTTCCGGGAAACGAGAAGCTGCGCTGCTTCCTCTCATGTAGCAGCTGGGGTGGGTTGGAGTCCGTGGTGTGCACGGGAGTTCACGTAGCAGCAGAACTGCCCCTATGTGAATGGGTCTGTTGAGAAGTTACTTGCGCAGCTGCAGTAGATTCGGAGAGCCCCTGGGCGTGTTCGGATACGCCGAGAGTGCCGTGGGGTGATGGAACACACCACCAGCTCCCTGCCTTCACCTACCCCTGGCCAGTCTGTGCCATTTTGTTCAGGCACCAGCTTTGCCGTCACATCTCTCTGTACTTTCTGCCTGCTGCCTCTGCCAAGAAATGAGCAGAAGAGGGGGGAGGCGGTGCGCTCCTCGCGAAGCTCCTCTTCTGCCAGCCCTTGTCACCTCGCAGAGCGGGTGTGTGCTCTCTGAGGTTTTGCCCGGTCGTGCCTCTGCCTCCATGCGCTCTCACCCGGCTGAGTGCCATCGGCCGAGCTGGTGGCTGGCACCCAACGGAGAACTCATCCAGAAATGGGACAGGTGTGGGGAATCTGCTGTCCACAACATGAAACTTTCCATCTCCTTCCCTGTCTACTGATGGAATTCTCTCCTTTTTATTTAAAAGGAATGAAACTGATTTTTAGGTTATATTTAAGAACCTCCCCCAGTAAAACAGGTCCGATTTCAGAGTTGCCGCAGTCTGTCCCTCGTCCTGGCGTGCTGTCCGCTCCCATTGCTCGCTGGGGTGACTGATGAGAGCTGTGGCGTTTCCCTTGCGCGTTGAGGAATGGCGTGGCCCTGGCTGAGCTCAGTACAACTGGTAGAGGCTTAACTTGCAGAGACACTGTTTACATTGCAGCCTTCTTGGGGCAGCAGTCAAGTTTCCGTGGGCCATATATGCTGCTAAGTCGTGTTGACGCATGAAAAGAAGGAGCACTGGGACAAGATAAGTTGGCAAATCCGCTCTGAATTGCTCGCTTGGTATTCAAGAGCCGGCAGTTGGGCCATCTCTACCAGATTGATTTGACCGACACCAAAAAGACCGGCACTCCTCTGATCTTACCTCTTTCCCGGCTTCCAGCGTGCAGTTGCCTATTGCTTTTCTGTAGCAGAGAAACTCCCTCGTAATTTATCCACGTGGGCTTCCAGCAGTGAGGGGATTGGGATGCTTCTGGTTAGGTCCTGGTGTTTGAAGGTTACTCTTTCTGAACCAGCATAAAATAAACCCAAAACATTACGTTTTCAGAAGTGTTAACGTTATGAATTAGCTCCGTTGCCATTTTTTCCTTTCATCGCTTGGTATTTATTTTACATTCGCCCTATAAAAACGCTTGGAAGCTCTGCAAAGAAATGAAATCTTGGCTTCTCCGCAGAGGACAGTTCTGAGAGGTAACGCAGCCTTTTCGCTTGATCAGAAGCAAAAGGAATTGAGCACGTGGACTGACTGAAAGGACAATAACGATCCCTTCCCCTTTAACAGCAGGATGCTAGTGATGGTATTGCCTCTGATCGGACTTGACTTCACAGCTGGTTCATCCAGCGAGCGTCGTGCCCCGGAGGAGCAAGAACATTATATAACCTGTTCTGCCAGCAGAGACTTCTCTCCAGCGAGACCGGACTCTGCATTGGTTCTGAAAGGAGAATTACAGAACAATAGTTGGCCTCCCTTCTATGCCCAGGAAAAAAATAAGTCCCCAGGGGAATGGGAGGGAAAAAAAAAAAAAAGAAACCAAAAAAACAACCAGAAAATCAAAGCGCAGCAAACGTCAACTCATCCAGGCAGCTCCCGCCACCGAGAGAGGAGCTTTTCACTTCGCGTTTGTGCACAGAGGCATCTGTTTGCACTGGGTCTCTTGGATGCTCCCAGGGGAGCGTGGTGGCACCGGCCAACACATAAAGTTCTGCTCCCCCCTCCCTGCGAGAATGCTTCAGCCGCAGAGTCTCCTCCCGGTCTGCAGCCAGCGGTGGCGTTGGCCGGTGGCTCAGCAGACGGTCTGAAAGTGCCTCCGATTGCCAAGGCCGGGTGTATGCACAGTTCACGTTGCCTGGAGCCTCCCTGGGAAGGCAGCATTGTCTGCTGCCAGGATCCAGGAAGGGAAGGAGGGGAGCGAGAGCCAGAATTCCTGGGCTCTTCACCCGGCAATAAACCTCACGCAGTCTCGGATGAATCACTTCCATGCTGCTGCTCCTCATTAATCCCCACTTGCAAAGCTGTACCTAGCTCCGGGGAAGAACCAGAGCCCTCCTGCCTGCCATGTCGAAGGCCGGCGTGGAAGAGGAGGTTTCCTCTCCGAGCGCGTGGCCTGGCTCCTCAGGGGCTGCGTGTCCACTGTTCCTGGGGGAGCGGGAGTTGTAGGTCTCCCCAGAACTGGGACCATCTTGCTGCCACCATCTCCGATGTTCACGCGTCCTCCTTGCCCGATAAGCGACCCAAAGCCTTCCTGCTCGCCCACCGGGGAAGGATCATCCCTGCCTCAGCTGATGTGAGAGTTTGTTGAGAAACTCCCCAGGTACATGGTTTGGTACCCGGGACGTTACCAAGGTTTTCTCAAATCCCCTCGGCTGGTGCGCTGTGCTTGTCAGCGTGCCGCAGGCGTCCCTGGACTGTGGGCGAGCATTTGTGCTCTCACAAAGAGCTGAACGAGCCCCAGGGGTCGAGTCAGCACCAGATCTGGAAGCTGCTGGGATCTCTGTGTGGTTGCGCTCAGGCTGCTCCGTTCTCACGCCTGTCTCCACAAGGCAGCTTGGACTCTGCAATCCCCTTCCCTCCGGGCAGCAGCAGAGTCTCCTTTGTGTATATAAAGTTCAGTTTCCTCCAACCCCCACAGTTCTCCTCTTAAGGGATTGGGAAGAGCCTCCTGCTTTAAATGGAAGAAATAAGAATCTGATATTTAAAGGGATTCTGTAAATATTTTGTTGAAGCCTGCGGGCTCACTGCATGGCCATGTGGGTGACCTGGATTCGACTTTACTCCACCATCATCCTCCTCCGGCCTGCCAGGACCAGCGCTACAGGAGCAGGTAGCAGGTGTGATCGGCTGAGGAGCGGCCATCCCTGGCCAGAGAGTACCAGGGCCTCCCCAGGGAATTCCCTCTTGCTGCTGGCGGTGGGTTAAAGTGGGAGGAAACGTTCCAATTTGATCATTTTAAAGACTGGCTTTCCAAACAGGCAACTTTTCACAGAGGCTGAGATTGTCCCGGCAGCAGTTCTCCCTCGAGCAGAGGGTACAGCCAGCATTGCAAGGTGGCACGACCGCTCGGACACATGGCCAAGGGAGGAAGCCTGCAGGATCTGGGTGGACAAGTTCCTCAGGAGGTAGCGGAGGGAGGAGAGGGAGAGGTTTCTGACATCCTTCCCTCTCCCAGTCCCCGCAGGGCTGCAGCTTGCTGGCAGTGGAGGGAGCGGAGCAGTCGCCGTCGTCTCGTCGTCTCAGGGAGTGTTTGATTTGTGGCATTCCACAGATCATTAGAGCAGCCGGGAATGTAGGTCAGGGCTGGCGCATCCCCTCACCAGCCTCTGCTCCTGATGCTGCAGGAGGAGGGAAAGGTAGCGGTGGGGAGGGAAACCCGGGGGCTTTGCTGGGGCACAGCGCCTGCCCTGCGGCAAGGAGACCCACCTGCTGCCCCGGCCCCGTGCCCCACCGTCGTCCGGCTTCAGTGGGCTTCTTGAGCATGGTTCCTCCAGCGCCTGCCCTCTCTCTGCTCTTGTCTGGGCCAGAAAAGCTGCAGGGCGGCTGCTCCCGGCAGTCACCAGCCCTCGGCTGTGGCACCTTTCCCTGGTCCCTGGCATCTCTCGCATTCACTTCCCTAGTTTCACACAAGTTTTCTTGGGGTTTTCGGTGCCCAAACACCACCCCACAGGTGTCTGCGTGTTCATCCCCTCTGTGCATTTGCCACAATTCCTGCAGCCTATCACTAAAGATAGTGATCGAGGTTTTTTTTAAAGAGGCAAACCCGCGGCAGGGGAGGCAGCGATTGGCGTGCCTGGGGCAGGAGTGGGGGCTTTCAGGCAGCACCGTCCTCTTCGGTTTCTTTTTTCTGCCTTTAGGTAGCTGATGGATCCCCGGTCTTGTAGCAAAGATGAAAACTTGCGGTGAAGCAACGGCTTCTCTAGTGAACCAAGATTTCCTCACTCTCCAAGAGACTCGTGTTAGGCGCTCCTTGCCAGTGGATTTTGAGCCTTTACTGATTCAGAGAGTCAAAATTTGGTGTCTTTGCTTCCTCTGCAGTACTTTAAAAGCACGAGTGGTTTTTCTTTCCTCCTCTGCCTTTGAATGCAGGGAACTAAATGACTTTTTCTTCTGTCAGTCACCTTTCAATGCAGGATGCAGAGCGGTAATTGTTGGGGTGTGCAAACATGCCGTCCAGCCCATAACCTCGTGTGATCTGTGTTCGATGTCTGTTCTTGAGTAGCCGACAAAATAAGAAGATGCGCGTTTATTGCAAGCAAATCACTTAATGCATCACAGTATTTCTTTTAGGAGCAAGTCTTGCCTAAGCTGCGCTCCCAGCTTCTTTAACTTAAGAGTTCTTTCTCCCCTGACTGTGTCTTATCCCTTCTGCCTCCTCGTAGCAAACTCTATCAAGGTGGAGATGTACAGCGATGAGGAAGCCAGCCGGCTACTGTCACAGGATGACCGAATGCTTGAGAAAGAGGACAGCGTCATCGTGGAGGACTCGCTCTCGGAGCCCCTGGGCTACTGTGATGGGACGGGCCAGGAGCCACACTCCCCCGGGGGCATTCGGCTGCCCAACGGCAAGCTGAAGTGTGACATCTGCGGCATGGTGTGCATCGGCCCCAACGTGCTGATGGTGCACAAGCGCAGCCACACTGGTGCGGCCCCGAGGCCGGCGTTGCTGCTGGGACAGGGGCAGGATGGGCTGGAGGGAAGCAAATTTCTGAAGCCAGTGGCAAGTGAGTGTTGGCTAGGGGCACAGATGCAGCGGGAGATGGGTGTCAGGTCCAAGATGCTGGCCCCAGTGATGGCAGCCAGAAGATGCCAGTGAGTAAATGTCCAGGAAGGTGCATGTAGCTGGTCTTTCCTCATCACTGTCCAACCTCCGGCAGCAGGTCTGTCACTCCCCAGGTTGGGGTTACATCCAGAGCATTACATTTGGTACTTAACCTAGGGCTTTCCCTCTCGAA